AGGAGGAGCTGCCCTGAGCAGAAGGAAAAGACCTTCCCCAATGCCTGGCAGACCTTTCTCTATGCTCTGGCACAGGTCAGGTCTGCAGCAGCTCTGCAGCACAACCCAACCATCCCATTCCCTTCATCTCTTGAAGGACCTGAGCACCCCCTCTCTCTGGATAGCAGAGGATGATCCACATGTCCATCCTCCTCTTACTGGCCATGAGAGCCTCTAGCAAGATTTCACCAAGCCAAGAGACAGCTCTGTGTCTTCTACACACCTACTTCTTTCCCTGGGGATGACTTAGAGCACAAAGTATTCCACAACACGCTCCGAGTGGAGCACGCCCATCCATGCACTCCCTGGCTGCTCCTCCTCTCCCAGCACAGCCAGGGACAGGGAGCTGCCTTGGGATGAGAGGCATGGAAACCCACAGGCTCCTTCCTCCCAGCCAGGGAGCCTCCCTGCCGCCTACCTGACTCCAGCCCAGGAAGAGAAGCTGCATCTCTGACAGCTCTGCGCCGCTCCAGGGAAGGGATAAGCACTCACACCCCGTTTGTCACACTTGGAAGCAAATCAGACAGACAGAACTCCACTGCCCTTGTCCTCCCATTTTGTTCAACAAGGGATGGGAGGCCGTGGCACGTCTCCTCGCCAAGGAAAGCAGCGAGCAGTTTTTCAGCTGAGCACACGCGGAGCGCGGGTGGGGGAGCGGCTCACTGCAGCGACAGAGACACAAACCCATCTCGTGATCAGTTATTGACTCCAGAGGAGTTGGAGCTCTAGCAGCAAGCCAGCCAGGAGAGCAAAAATCCCTCTTTTGTTCCCCAGCCTCAGACAGACTTGGCCACACAGCTCCCTGCTGTCTCGCTTCACACAGTGAGAAAAGAAAGTTAATCCAGCTCCTCTCCATCAGGAGCCATCCAGCCTGAGGGAGAGATGCTGCAGAGCCATCCCTGAGCATTCCTGAGCCTGGCCTCATCCTGGCACCCACCACTGCTGGTGGATACCAGGCAGTTCAAGGACCTCGTGGGACATTGCCAGGAGCAGCAGGGACAGTGCCCTCCAAACTCCCAGGCCTAGCTCAGCTGTCCCCACACTGCCCCCCAAAGCAGGACCAGCCCTGAGGTCCCTGCTGCCCCCATGGTGAGCAGGTGACCCATGCTGCCCACACAGGGATTTCCAATCCTCCTTTACAGACAAACTTCTGACTCAGGAGAGAGCCAGACCACTATGCAGGGACTGAATCCACCTTTTCCCTAGCACTTTCCCAAGCCACAGCCTTCCTGCAGGAATAATGTTTTCCACTGTACCAGAGGTCAAGTGGTAGGAGAACTGTGGCCAACAAAGCCCTTTGGTGTCATCCCTTCCCCTCAGGAAGGGCACAGGTTACACACACGTTAGAACCACCAAACCCAAATTTCTCCCTACTGCCCTTCTAGGGAACAAAAGTTACCTTTTAGATTGGACACCTGACCCAAGATTTCAGAGCCCTGCTCTTCATCCCCCTTCACCACCAGCTTTCTCTGTTCTCCATATGAGAAGTGAGAATATTTACTATATTTAAGATCAGAGAAGAAAATTATGATTCATGGGCTCTCCACTCTGTGGAAATGGGAATTGTGTATCTGTATTTCTAGAGCATGAACAAACATGAGTACTTCTGTCTATAGCTCTGTAGATCAAGGAAGTGATTTTAAAGTCAACTCATCCTTGCATAAACCTGGACAGTCAAATAACAGAGTGGAGAATAGCAAAGTGCTGAAATCTGTTCCAGAATGCACTTGCTGGTTTCTTTACTCTTGGTGACCTGGCAGAGAGGGCTGTTATTTTAACATTACACTTGCTGAAGCCTCACTGAACGGCAGGCGGGACCAAAATAATCCACATGGCCCCTGGAAGCCACAGAGTTGAGAGGAAAGTGCTCCAGCATCTCCAGGCAGCACAAGCCTTTGTTCCCACATGCTCCTGCCGGCAACCAGGACTGCCTGCCCTGCTCCAAATGAACTGGCTTCCCTCCTCCTTCCCCACAAATTAACTCCATCTCCAGCTGTCCCTGCACAAGCTTCCTGTAAGATTAATTATTCTTTGTACACACATGTTTGATGATTTACCCAGCAAACCAGGCACAATGATCAGGAATTCTCCATTTCCATCAGCGCTCTCCCCTGAGGCACAGAAGTTTTCTGGGCAGGTCCTTCACCCTGGCACAGGCACAGGAAGAAGTGTCACTCCTCAGAAGGTCCACGTGGCTCACCAGGAGCAGTCAGTGTTTGTGATGCTGCTGCAAGGTCAGCTGGAGAAGATGTGCTCCTGAAGAGCCCTCATTGCCAGTCAGCAGGGCTGGCACTGACGCCAGTCTAAGTGGGAACATGAATGATCCCAAAAGGTGTGTCCCCAGCTACGCTGTCCCATGACCCGAGAGTTCTCCCGTACAAGGAGCTGTGTTTGTTTGCACTGTCACCTTTCAGGAGGTGCAATTTTCAAGAGCCAGGAGTCACCGTGTGAGGAGTCACCTGCAGGCTGGTTCCGGCTGTGATCTCACACAGCACAGCACCGAGGAGTCACCGCGCCGGGCTCGCCCGGCTCAGGAAATGGAAAGCACCAAGTTATAGAGCTGTGGGCCAGACCTGCCAGGGGTGAGGACTAAACTCCTAGAAGCAGTTTATTAGCCTGGAAAGTCACAGTTGGCCACAGAAGGTGTGGGGTGGGGATATACAATGTAAGATGAGTTGATGCCACCCAGCTCTCCCCACAGCCCAGCAGGAAGCCAGAGCCTGTCAGGCTTTCTGAGCCCAGAGAGCTCAACAGGGCTCACAAGTCCCTTTAAGATCTCTTACAGCAGATAGTCACCTGCTGTAACACCAAAAGGATGTTTGAGCAGCTACATGAGCCTCTTCCTCCGAGGGTCAGACATTTCCTTCACCCAGAAAGAAGGAGAGGGTGCCCAAGAGATCAAGTGTGGAGAGACCATGAGATAACAGCTGGAGGGAGAACACACAACAAAGAGTCACCTTGTGCTTGGCAGAAGTTGGTTTCACATCCAAACGTGACTTAACTGGGTGAGTTCTGACACCAGTAATGGAAAGTTTCTACCCCAGCTCATGAAGCCACTGTACAGGAAACAGCCTAGAAGAGCTGCTCAGTGACCTAAGCACAATAGAAGCATTAACCACATGGAGCCCACCTCAGATTTTGGCTGGATGCTCCTGACAGCTTTCCTAGAGCTCAGCTGCCCCAGCTCTTTCCAAAATCCCTGCGCTAGCCCCAAACACTAGATCCCACAGCAAAACCCCTCCTGAGTTCAGGACCTGCACTTAACAGCAGACCCTGATGCTTCTCAGAATCAAAGCAATAAGGAAGCAGAAAGAATGTCTAGAACAAAGATACACCTTTCTCCTTCTCTACAACACCACCAGGAAGCAGAGGAGAGCTAGTGTAGAGCAGAACCTGTTGGCAGGTCCTCTCCAAATGGGAGTTGTAGAGGCAGCAGCAAGTGGCTTTGGCCAGCTGGCAGCACAAGGGGCCAGCACACCAAACCCTGCAAGGCCAAACTCCTGTCCCTCCCAAGAAGCACCTTCAGGATTGGGTGGAAGTCAATGGGATGGGCTGAGGAGGGAAGTCAGCCAGACTTCATTAAGAACATCTTTGCTGGAAGTGCATCTGGGAGTACTCTCCACTGAGATAAACGCTGGATCTGCAACTGTTTTGCTCTGACAGGAGTTAAACAGGCTACAAGTTTACACTTGTCCTAGGTACTTTTTTTTCCACAAGAAGCTTCCAAAAGCTATTGCAGACAACTGGGAGAGGTGCTCTCAAAAGCAAGGCACAGGCAAGCATAGGCACCATCATCCAGGCTGACAGCTCTTGAACAGAGGCTTCGCATTTTACATTACTTGGTCTTTTTTTCCCCCTCCAATAATTTGTTACAAAGGAAGCAGCATGCACACACAAGAAGCAAGCAAGACCTCAGGGAAAACAGCAAATTGGTTCACATTTCCACAGCGCTGAGCACAAAGCTGACTTGCAAATGCGAATGACTTCTCTCAGGCGGGGGAGGAAGCTCCCAGTTTGGATGATCCGAGCCCAGCCGCTCATTTCCCCGCAGTCCAGCCCCATCGCTCTGCCCTGACGGACTGCACCAGCCACGAGCACGGTCTGAGCCTCGCGTGGAGCAACAACAACCCGCTAGCCCAACACGTCCTGCTCCAGACCACTGCTGCCCAGCGGGCACTCTCTGCCCTGGCACTCACAGCACCTCGTACACATCGCGGACATCTCCCACACCAGCAGAGCCGCAACTCAAATGCCCGAGTTCATTCGAGATGTTACAACACGGCTGCTCGCTGCGGACGGTGCCTGCGAGCCTGGGTGGGTGCCGCTCCTGCCAGGACACAGCATCGCACATCTCCCCTCTCCTGCCCAGGCAGGGCTGCTGCCCACCGGGACACGGCATCGCCCACCGGGACACGGCATCGCCCACCTCCTCCCATCCCCCTGCCCTAACACATTCGGGCTCCGTCCGACCCAGGGGCACCAGGCTCGGGGTTCGGGCGATGCCGGCAGCCCTGGGAAGCCGCAGGACTCCGGGAGAGCAGAACGAGACGGGCGAGCCCCTCCACCACCTCCCGCTGCCACCCTGGGCACCCGCCAGCTCCGGAGGTTGCTGTGGCACAGCCCCGCGCTGGGCTGTTTTGGGAAGGGGGTTGGGAGGATGTTTTCTTATTTATGGGATAGGAGCAAAAAGTAAGAGGAGGAAGCGGAGAAGGAAATAATCCAGCAGGTTGCTCCCATCGGCCCCTCCCGGCCACCGCATGGCAGCGGGGGCAGCTGCGATGGGGCAGCCCCGGAGCCGCCGGTCCCCAGAGCCGGGGAAGGGAGCCCGGCCGCTCCCCGGCACCATCCCCGGGGCGCCCTGCGGGCCAAGGCAGCCCGTGAACCCCTCCCCGGGATATCCGCCCCGCCGTACGGCCCCGCGGGCGGCGGGCACGGCAGGGCACGGCAGGCCGCGGGCTCACCTCGGTACTGCAGCGAGCCCGAGAGCCGCACGGTGACGGTGCCGGCCAGCGGCTCGCCGGGGCTGTAGACGACGCGGCTGTCGCCCAGGCGGATCTCGAAGAGCTGCACCTTCCCCATGGCCGCGCCGGCCCGGCCGCTCTCCTCCGCTCCGCTCCGCTCGTACCTGCGGCCCGCGCTGTGCCTGCCCCGGCGGGCGGGACCGCCCCGCGCCCGCCCCGCCCCGCCTCGCTCCGGCCGCGCTGAGGGAGCGGGGCGGGCCCGAGGCAGAGGCGGCCGGGCCGGGGGCTGCGGGTGGGTCCCTGAGTGCCGAGGGAAAGGGGCAATTGTGCGGCCAGGCTGAGGGAAAGGAGCAGGCTGTGGGGCTGGGCTGTGAGGGAAGGGGTAGCTGATGGATCCCTCACTGCTATAGGGTCAGGCGATGAAGTAAGGGAAAGCTGGTGTATCCCTGATTACTATAAGGGAAGGGAGGAAAGGGCAGCTTCAGGGCTTGGGCTGGGCTAGGAGGGAAGGGATTGCTTGTGGGGTCAGGCTGGGAGGGAAGGAGCAGATTGTGGGGCTGAGCTGTGAGGGAAAGAGAAGCTGGTGGATCCCTGACTGCTTTGAGGGAAGGAGCAGGTTGTGAGGGAAGAAATCACTTGTGGGGTCGGGCTGTGAGGGAAGGAACCACTTGTGGGGTCAGGCTCTGAGAGAAAGGAGCAGTTGTGGGGTCAGGCTCTGAGGGAAGGAGCTGACTGCCCAGCATGGGGCCATCTTGCCTCCCGGTGATCCTTGCTCCCTCTAATCTCATTTGCTCCCTGTAATTCTCCAGGCCCAGCTGTCACCTCTCCCTGCTCCTGTTTTTATAACCCCAGTCGCTTTAAGTGTCTGTAAGAGGCAAATACAAGGGACCTAGCAGCAACCTGGGACTGAGGAGTCAGTGATGACCCCACACTCTCTGTGGATCAGTGGGTGAAGGTCAGGGTGTCCCAGGAAGCCAGCAGTGACCAGCACACTTCATACATTTGCCATGTTCCCCCCTCATCTCTGCCCGATTGAATAAAAACCATCTGTAAAACCCACACCAAAGGCAACGCCGGGAAAAGGCACCTCCCGGCCGCTGGCGAGCAGGCTGTGTACACAGGCAGAATGAATAAGTGTAAAAGGAGCTGTTTATCTGCAGAGCACACCCAGCCCGGACCTGGCTGGACAGACAGACATCCTCCCACAGCCCTGCAGTGACACCAGCCTGGGCACGTGGGGCTGTGGGACCCTTTGTGCTCCTTTATGGTGACTGTGGCAGCCTGAAACCCCTCACAGGGCAGTAAAGGAGTTGGTGTGCCCCGGGCACACAGGGCTCCTGCTGGGAAGCCTTTCCAGGCCCTCCCTCCTCAGTGCTTAAGAGCTACCTCTCGTTTCCAGGCTGCGTGTAGTCACAGGCTACAGACACACAGCAGCCTTGTGCCAAGGCTCTCTGCAGCTCATCTCCTCCCGCAGGGCGTACCCTGGGATCCGTCCGCACACCGCTCTCCTTGTGCTGCCCTTAGCTTCTGTTTTCCCAGGCTAAGCACGCCAATTTGCTCCAGCCTTTTTGTTTTGTAAGATGAGCCTGTAGCCTCTTTCATCAGTCTCCGCAGCCCCTATTTAGCTCTGCCAGCAAAACCAAACAAATTAGGAGAAGGGAGGGGCGGGTGAAAACACCCTGAGCTACAGCAGATTTTACTGAACCCTCTTCCCCCATGGAAAGTGGCCAAAGGTTTGTGATTTGAGGCACAATTGGAGCCACCCCATCTCTGGGGCAGCACTGGCACCCTTGCCCCAGAGGGACACCACACATGTGACATCTCAGGGTGGAAAAACCCTTCACCAAACCCGAGCCCCTCGTGCCACACCACAGCTTCTCCTGACAGAGATTTATGCGCCTTGTTTGCAGAGAAGTTAATTTTAAGTACAGCAAAGTTGCTCGCCCAAGGTCACAACGTGAGTAAAAAGGATTCCTGCACCAGGAGCTGAACAAAAGCAGCCAGGCACAGCTACAGTACTGCAAGGGCTTGTGCTGAGATGCACAGGGTCCCTTGTCATGTCATGGCCAGCAGCGATGCCACAGCACTGATCCATCCCCTGGATCACAGCTACACCGGGCAGAGCAGTCTGTAAAATGTATCTGCATGGATATAATTGAAGCATGGAGAAGAGGAGGCTTCAGGGAGACCCCATTACAGCCTTCTAGTACCTTAAGGAGGCTTTAAAATGGAAAGAGAGGGACTTTTTATATCAGTAAATAGGGACAAGACAAGGGACAGTGGTTTAAACTGACAGAGAGTGGGGTTAGATTGGATGTTAGGAAGAAAAAGCTTTACTTAGAGGGAGGTGATGCCCTGGCACAGAGAAGCTGCAGCTGCCCCTGGATCCCTGGAAGTGTCCAAGGCCAGGCTGGACAGGGCTTGGAGCATCCTAGGATATAGTGGAAGGTGTCCCTGCCCCTGGCAGGGGGTGGAATGAGATGATCTTTAAGTTCCCAAACCGGGCTGTGATTCTATAATTCAATGTATTCAATGCCTGCAGTGCCAGGGCACCCATCATTCCCCCAGTGATGCCAGATTCAGGAGGATTTTACTCATTGCAGTCAAAATGTGTATTTACATTCCTGCCTCCCTGCTCACCTCAGAGTCACTCCTCTTATCTACTTGTGTGAGGAGTCACTGGAGTTAAAACTCAGAGCATAAAAAAAAAAAAAAAAAAGTAAGCTAAGGATGTTTGGTAAACTGCCACGGTTTGCTTTCTGATATTTTTGACTATTGTTTTGGTTTAAAAAAAAATGTTTTGAAGAGTTTTGTTGTTGTGGTGGGAAATCTCACTTCCTCTGCATTCTGTGTGCTCTCCCTTTCGCCTTTTCCCCTTATTAAAAGGGAAATTTTAAAAGAGAGAAGAAAAATGTCAAGACAAGCTCTAGAATAAAATTTTCCTTTCAGATGTCACCACATTCCCCTAACTTCAAGGAACGTGAAATTTTCTGACAAAGAGCATAGTAGTTATTAAAAGGAAAAAAATTATCAATAAACCCCTCTTCAGGAGCACCTGAGCTGTGCTTTGCCAGCAGCACAGACGAGCTTGAAGCACAGGTGCTGGGAGAGCAGCTGGGAGTGGTGTCACATGTGGGGAAAATGTGCCCACGGAGGGCTCAGCTGTGGCTGCAAGTGCGAGCCACACAAGCCTCCATCATTAAATCACAGACGTTGGCTTGTGACTTGAATTCGTTCCCCTCTTGTCTTTCCAGGAGTTTCCAGCTGTGCCTGCTGACACGGAGGAGGCACAGCCCCACCTGACCGTGCCTCAGTTTCCCCTGCGCTGGCGCTGCTCAGGGAATGAGCAGCGGAAATGCCAGGGCATAGCCGGGCCGTGACTGATGCTGTGTTAACCACGGGAGCGCGGCGGGTGAGGCAGCAGCGCGGTACCCGGGGCACTTCGTGTCTCGGGGTCATCTCCACCTGCCCGAGGCTCCGCGGTGGCTGCAGGGGAGAGGAGCGAGCCTGGCAGGTGCTGCCCGGCACCGCGGGGACACCCAGAGCCTCTCCTGCTCCCTTGTTACAAGACCAGTCTATCTCTCCGCCCTCAAATTCTCGTGCTTTTGCGTCTCCAGCCTCTCCCCCTTCTCCTACTGGGTTTGGCGAGGGCGTGACTTGAGGGAGCCCACCACACCCCATTAGGGCAGGCACCGAGCGGCTGCGATGGAGGGGGGAGTAAAGCAGCAGAGCTTTGTGGAAGTTGAAGTTTAGGTTTCTTATTTCTTTCCCTTGAACTAAAATACACAGATGTGAACTGCCATGAAGGGCGCCCTGTGCTACCTACGCCACTGACAGCCATTCTGTATTCCTGTGTACATAAAATCCATTACCCTAATATATTTACATTACACTTAGGTTTATTACCTTTCTAAATTATTTCCCTGCTTCACTCAGTGCCTCACCGCTTCTCAGCTGATTTGCTGGAGGGTAAACTACGTCATCTGATACCAACAGCAACAACAATTACTCATTTGTCTCAGGCTGACACCTTCCAGCAGGTTCAGGCAGAGGTGGTACCGTTCAGCCACACCTCCCTGCGAACCTCTCCTCGCAGGAAGCCACAGCCAAAAAATCCTCTGTCCCCCTTCCGTGGGTTCATCAGGGATCCTGTCCCCCTTCTGTGGGTTCATCAGGAGGCCACAGCCAAAGTCCCCTGTCCCCCTTCTGTGGGTTCATCTGCAAGGCAACTCCCAGGCAGCTTCCCCAAGGGTGGAGTTGGATGTCCCACCAGTGGTGTACAAATCTCTGGGCTAAACATGTGATAGAGTTATCAACATATATAGAATTATAGGTTTGACTTGAGAGGGCCCTTAAAGACCATCTCATTTCTTCCCTTGCCATGGGCAGGGACATTTTCCTCCACACCAGGATGCTCCAAACCCTGTTCAACCTGGCCTTGGACACTTCCAGGGATGGGGCAGCCTCAGCCTCTCTGGGCAACTCTGGCACAATGTCCTGGGACTCTGTAGTAGCTCCCCACTGCTGCTGGAACTCCACCAGCCTTTTGGTCTCACTGAGCCTTCCAGACACAAGGGCCACCAGCCCACCACAGCCCAACCCCTGGGAGGATGAGAGAAGAGCAGGAAGCAACCAGAAACCACCCAGAGCCAGGAGGCACCACTGCTCAGGGGCTCTGCAGGGAGGCCAGGCAGCTGCTTTGGGCTCCATCCCACAGATGCTTCACCAACCTGTACCCTGAGACCGTGCCCCAGGCCTCACCCAAAGAGTAAGAGACTGAAACATGAGTGGCTCTAACAACATAACAAATAACACTGGCTTACCCTCACACTGAGAGCCTGATGATGGAGTAACTTGGCTGAGACACCACCAGAGGGACTGCCCTTCACCAGGAGAGAGAAACCCTGCCATGCCATCCCCCAGCAGTTTGTTTCCACTGCTCATCCCCTTTGTGCCAGCATGCACACCTTCAGGCCAACTTTGGCAGCTTCATCCCTTGCTTCTTGTTCTGCTGCTCTCTGATGTTAAAGAGTCCTTTGGTGCCACATCCTTTCTCCTTGTGACAGTGTTTACACACTGGAATAAACACACCTCTCAATGTCTGTGGTAAACGGAGCAATTTGAGCTCTTCAAGCC